TCCTCCTTACCGTCTGCGTTAGCCTCGGGGTCGAAACGCTGGCCGCAGCCGCGGTTGTAACACAGAAGCGCCATTCCGTTTCCTAGGTGAAACCCACACCACCGGGACGACAAGGAAACCAGCACGCCAATTGCCGCACTACGGTGCAGGCCGCCGCCGGCTTTCCGCAGCCGCCGGGGGCCGCTCCAGGAATTTTCGCGAACGTTCGAGTTGCACAGGCGCAGAAGAGACTGGAAGAAGGGTCGGAGCCTAGCGCTTGGCGGTCGATTCCCCGCCGGACTCCCTCAGTGAGCGCAGTGGGTGGACCCGGACAGTTATAGATGAGACACCCATGGGCGGAAGCGGAAGGCCCGGCGAGCCTCGCTCCCTTTGTGGCCCGCATCGTCCTGGGAGCTGACAGTGGCGTGTGTTGTGCAGCTCTTGGACAGGAGGCAGTGGCGAGCCAAGTCCTCAGCGCAGAGGCGCTCGCCTGGCGGAGGGCGAGTGAGGAGGGAAAAGGACCGCCCGTTTAACCGGCCCCCGATCCAGATCTGCGCATCCTCACGACCAAGGTTCTTCCCGCACTGCCAGTAACTGAAGAAATGGGTTCAGTCACTTTAAAAATACACAGCACTTGAGGATGAGAAAGAATTGTGGCTCAAGTGCATTCCGAGAACTAATCACAATTCTAAGATGAAATTTCACATTAGCTGCCACTTAACTTACTGTTCAGTCAGTGGGTCGGTCTCATAAAGTACAATCTCAAGTTTTCAGTGTACAAAACACAGCATTACATTAATAGACACCTTGCAAACAGTGTTTTCCTGAGCACATACTTTCTATAATAGCAGTTTTGATGATAGACACACAAAAAAGATGTGTACTTTTCCAACGATCCCAAGTTTATTATTAATGCAGACCTGCTCACAATCTTCCCATCCCAATAATAGACTTATCACTTCCCATATCCTTTTAATGACTAGAAATATCAAATTTGTGTATTTCTCCAATACAAATAAAACGATGTATTCAGTTAACCTAAGATGATTTTCATTTTATGTCATTGTCAACTCATTTATATAGTTATTGTTATGGATGATGGAATAGTTTGTTGAATTCTGTCACTTACATGTTGCCCTATAACCTCACCAACTTAATTGTGCCTAAGTCTATAATCAATTTATTGTGTATTGCTTTTCTTCCCCCTAGGAAGTAGCTAATAATGTGTAAAATACGTTTGTTTTTTGTTTTGTTTTGTTTTGTTTTTTTTGTTTTTTTTGAGACAGGGTTTTTCTGTGTAGCTTCCCAACTCACCCTGGAATTCGCTCTGTAGACCAGGCTGATCTCGAACTCCCAGAAATCAGCCTGCCTCTGCCTCCCAATTCCTGGGATTAAAGGTTTGCACCACCACTGCCCAGCTAGGGAATAAGCCTTTTAAGTCCGAGTAAGTTTTTAAAGATAAATATTGCCAGTTGATTTCTAAAAGGTAGTACCAATTTTCATTTTAGCCACAGATATCTAGTATAGTAGACAATAGAAATTAATCATTAATAATAAGAAATGGATGACGAGCTCTAAAAAGTGCTTAATTTTGACCAGTTCCAATGTTGTATCTCATCGTGTCACAGCATCATTAATGGGTATTTAATGTCAGTTTTTCACAGATACACATTTACATTCTTAGTATATAAATTAAAAATTACAAAAATAAGATTTAAAAAATGGACATCTGAGAGAGTTCAGAGTATACAGGACTAGATTGAGCTGGGCCATTGGGGAGAGAGGGAGGGGAAGGAAACAGGAACCAGGTGCTACAGCCTGGAGGCCAAATGTGCAAAAGGGGCAGGTAACCAAAATATCTGGATTACACAGGGAAGTGCCTCTGGCAAAAGGCAGCCCAGCCTCTGGGCTGACTGAGTTCAGGGTAGAGAATGATATATGCCAGCCATCCCATGTAACAGCTAGGGACTGAGGGATGCTGGGAGAATGTGGAGGCCAAATCGGCTTTGGTATTTTAAGTGGGCATTTCAGCCCTTTCTCCAGGGGTGGAAACTTGATATCTTGCAGGTCATTCAGAATTGCTGAACATCTTTAAATGTGTGACAGTTTGAGCTGCTACAAAACAAAAGCTTTTGAAGTTTTACTAAGTTGGGTTTTTGTTTTTTTTTTCCTTTTGGACACAGGGTCTCATTTGTTCACACTGGGCTCAGTCTCACTGTGAAGCATAGAATGACCCTGAACTCCTGATCATCTGCTGTTCCCTCCCAGTAGGTGGGATTGTAGAGATTACCTTTACTCCATTACTAAGATTCCTAGAGATTGAATGTAAGTGAGGCCAACACTTACCAACTGAAGTAACAAGAGTCTTTTTAAATGGGCAACACAAATTGGCCTTTCACTTTTTTCTCCTTTATTTTGGGGGGAGCATCCACATGGGTGGTGGGAGGGACCCACATGGGTGGGGGCAGATCTGGGAAGACTGGGAAGTGAGTGTGCTCAGCTTCATGATGTGAAATTCCCTAATAATCAATAAAAATATGAAAAAGTGAAGATTACAAGATAGATGTGGGCACATGCCTGTGATTCCATTAGTCAAGAGGCTAAGAGAAGAGGGTTGTGAGTTTTAAGACCAGGGTGAAATACATAGTATTCTTAGGGCGAATCGATGGAGAAAAACATAGACTCAAATACTATGCAAACACAAAGTCTTCATTCTGCAGAAATAGCCAGCATACGGGTGTGGTCATCCACACAAAATGGGGAAGACGACCCAGGAGAAAGGCATGAAGGCCCTTTTAAAGGGAATTCTAAGTATAGTGAGCTAATCTCTGTTCTAATTGGCCAGTCAAGGAGCAGTTACATGGGGTACATGTTGATTGGACAGGGCTATTAACAGTTTCACCCAATGTGGGCTTTTTAGTCATATGTGGTCAGTAGCAGCCATATCTTGCAACTTTGGGTCTCCCAGCCTTATAAGGCCAGATTTGAAACTGTTTAACTCATTAACTAAACTTGGGCTTAGGGACTTTGTGGACTCAGTCTTAGGTCCTTATCTACAATGGAGTTGCTCTGTGTCTAAAATGGAGTTACATTCACATTCCAATCCCTTCAGTGTAACTTCTCAAATAAACAATAGATATTACAAACAAGAATACATTGGAGTTCTTTTTTTTTCTTTTTTTTGGGGGGGGTTTCAAACCAAAATAGCAAAAAAATTAAAAATGCAGAGACTGATACTGGGGTTCAGGCTTCAAACTGAAGATCAGAAAAGCAAAACAGCCAGCCACTAGCTCTTAACTGTATTTCAGACTGAAAAGGCTGATCCTGTCCCCCTGAGCTCTCTACCAAGCCTCAGACTTTTGTCTTCTCTCTTCGTGGCTGGAGAGTCAATGTCTGATATTGACTACTGAAGATCTTGCTCCTATCTTTCAAACCTCTCTAGTTCTGGGATTAAATGCATGAGCTCTGTTGGTCTTTTAGACTGATTCAATATAGTGTACCCAGGGTGGCCTTGAACTCAGAGAGATCCATCTGCCTTTGTCTCCTGAATCCTATGATTAAAGGTGTGTGCCACCACTTCTGGCTTCTATGACTAACTAGTATGGCCGTTTTGCTATTTTGACCTCCAGTGACTTTAATAAATCATAGTGGTATCACCACAACAGAGTTTCTTTGTAGCTTTGGAGCCTATCCTGGAGCTCTCAGTATACCAGAGTGGGCCTCAAACTCAGAGATCCACCTGTTTCTGCCTCCCGAGTGCTGCGATTAAAGGTGTGCACCATCACTGTGCAGCAGTAATTTATTAAAATGAATCATTTGCTTAAAACTTTTGTTTTCAGCTCTGCTGTTAGGACTCAGACAAAAACAAATTAAAATATTTATATGCATTTTTACCAAGCATAGTTTTAATTAAACCTTTAAAAATGAAATTTATTATAGCTCATTTTCATGGATTAGAAGTTCTATAGAGCCAGGCGATGGTGGTGCATGCCTTTAATGCCAGCACTTGGGTGGCAGAGGCAGGTGGATCTCTGTGAGTTCCAGGACAGGCTCCAAAGCTACATAGAGAAACCCTATCTCAAAAAAAAAAGTTCTACATAAAAAGGACAACTGTACATATAGTATTTTAAGCTATTGTCAATTAAAAATGACTTCCTTATGAGATAGTGGCAAGCATCTTCTAAAAATTACATTTTTTATTATCTAAAATATTAACTTTTAAAACTGATCAGTTTTTATCAAAATTTGTCTCTGATGATACACATAAATGCTAGACAAATTGTCTTGTTGAGATTATCAAAATTTTTGTTTTACTTCAAACTCTGTTATTTGTATTAAATTTTTTCTGAAATCCCATCTATGCAGGAAATTACTAAATCTTTCAATTTCTACATTTTATATTCCTGACTCTAATTTTGAAGTATTCTGAAAAATACTATCTTAAGAATGAGATGGTGTATCTTGTGGTTCCCTTCCTTCTAAACTAGGAATGTATTGTGCAATTTGTTATGTGAAATAAACACATTTTAAGAGACTTGAGGGTATTAAAGTGTACTTTATATGTCTCACTAAAATGTAACTTGTAGAAAGCAGGAATTTATATTTCTATTTTTTATTATTATGTTACTACTTCAAGTTGTTACAAGCAATTATTGACATGGTACCTAATAAATATATGTTGAGCAAGTGAATATATGTACACAAAGCTACACAGAGAAACCCTGTCTCGAAAAACCAAAAAAGAAAAAATTCAAAACAAAGTGAAATTAGTTTAGAAGTGCAAATAATGCAGCATTATTAGACTGGAAAAGCATATAGATAAGAAAGTGATATGGTTTTCATGAATGCAACAGAAGGAGTACTTGTAGATATTCAAGAGTTAATTTGAAGCTTCTCTTTAAATAATGAAGAATATGAGTAGAGATGACTATATATATTACAAATCTTACCAAGCTCAACTATACAGATAAAATAATTGTTTTGTTCCACAAGATGGCAGCAAAGTTATATTTTGGTACTACTAACAACCAGTTATCACTCCAAATGATGCTCAACTGTTATAATTAATGTATAATGAACATGGAAGATTTTGTTTTGCTTTTGAAGATTTTGTCCTTTTGCTATTCCTTACTGGACATTTAATTAGAAAATTTATATGTTCAGTC